TAACTGGATTAAGTGTTTTCAACTTAAAGACGCAGGTTAGCTGCATGAATAAAAAACAAGACCCAATGATATCCTTATTCATAAAATACTCACTTTAGATTTTTTTAAACTTTTGATCTAATGGTATACAGGATAGAAGTAAAAGGATAGAAAAAGGCATTCCATGCACAGAAACTTAAGGCAGCAGAGATTTTCATACAAAATTATAGGATAAATGTTTTCACCAGAGACAAAGAAAGATATATAATGATAAAATACTCGATTCACCGGGAAAACATAACATCTATAAATATATATGTACCTGTATTAGAACTCCCACATACAAATAAATACAACTAAATACCCAAATACAACTAAAGAGAAAAAGGAGACGATGCAATAATATTCAGAGACATTGATAGTGTACTTTCAGTATTTGATGATATTTTTGGGACACAGATTTGCTATGATGCCTCAGCTGGCCTGTATTTTCTAGGCTCAAGAGATCCTCTTGCCTCAGCCTCTCAAGTAGTTGGGATTATAGGCAGATGCAGCTGTGCCCACCCACTTTCAGTTACTGATTGAACACAAGACAGAAGCTAATAAGACAAAGGACTTGAACAAAACATCTAGACCTAACATTCAACACCCATAGAATATGTATATGGACCATTCAATGCAACGGACACATTTTATATCACAAAATAAATATTAACAAATTGGAGAGGACTGAAATAATATAAAGTTTATTTTCTGACACAACGAAATGAAGCTAGGAGCTAAGAGCATAATGAAAATAGAAAAACCCACACATAGGTTAAAATTTAAAACCCCTAATTTTTAAACAGTGAGGGAGTTAAAAGAGAAATAACAAGAGAATTTTAAAAATGAGACAGATAACAACAAAAGATAGCGTATCAAAGGTATGAATTACAGCGAAAGCAGCACTAAGAAGGGCATTTATAGGGGTAAACACACTGCAAAATAAAGATTTCAAATCAACAATCAAGTTTTACACCTCAACAAACTAGAAAAAGGAGACTAAAAGTAAAAGATGGGGAAAGAAGAAAATAATAAAGGCTGGAGTAGAGATAAGTGAAAGGCAGAAAGGAAAACAAATTTTAAAATATCAAAACAGTTCTAAAAAATAATACAAAACAGCCTCATTAAAATGGAAAAAATAGTAGGTAATTTTCTACTGATAATGTATAGATGACAGACAAGCTTATGCAGGATGCCTAAAATTGCTAACACTAAGAGAAATACAAATAAAATCACTATCACTTTATACCCACTAGTATTGCATTACCAATAGAAATGGATACGTTTTGGAGAAGATGCAGAGAGACTGGAACACTTCTTCACTGTTAATGGGAATACAAAGCGATGCATCTGCTGTCAAAACCAGTACTGAGAGATTTGTCAAAAAACTAAAAGCACAATTGTATGACCAGCACTTCTGGGTACAGATGTAAGATAATTGAAGGCAACATTGCCAGGAGATATTTGCACACTCTCGTTTATTATGCCATTATTCAGAATAGCCAGAAATTGGAAGTATCCCAGATATTCACTGATACATGAATGAATAAGGTGTGGATGCACACACGATGGAATATCATTGTAACCTAAAAAAAGAAGGGGAAACTGTGTCATATACTGCAACAAGGATGAAATTTAAGGACATTATGCTGTGGAATAATCCTGTTACAAAGGAATATATATTGAATTATTTCATTCATATGAAATATTTAATGTAACCATAATACTAGAACAAGAGATTAGAAAAGTGTTAACCAAGGGCTGATTGTGTGTGTGTGTGTGTGTGTGTGTGTGTGTGTGTGTGTGTGTGCATGTGCATACACACTCATGTGGGAGGGCTACTGGGTTACTGTTTAATGAGTACAGTTTCAGTTTTGTAAGATGAAAAATGTTATACATATATTGCACAGCAATGTGAATATACTTAATATTGATGAACTATATACTTCCAAAATGATTAAGATTTTAACTTTAATCTTACGTGTTTCTGTACCACAGTAAAAAGAAACAAAGGTAAGAACAAAATGTCTAAAAAATACTAATTTCACTTTGAGGATCTACAAGGCTGGATCAGAAGATCCAATGACTGCTTAAATAGAGTAACTTATCACTTGTGTGTTAATCTTTGTAATCTTTTACTGTGACATTGCTCCACTTTGGCCTGGTGGCCATAGAAGATTAGTAGTCTAGAACCTTTTATAAGATTAGCAATCCAGAACCTTCTATATTAGATCAACGGTCTAGAACCTTCTATTTTAGATCAACGGTCTAGAACCTTCTATTTTAGAAAACTAAAAGTCAGGAATCTGCTACATTAGAAGACAGGTGACTGCAGATTAGACTGTAATCTAGAACCTTTCACACACCACTGTGGTGTGAGGTTAAGAGTTCTTTGACAAGTGGTACCAAGAAGAAATTGAAATTCTGATTATACAAATTCCAAAATCTTCATCTGATTTACAATACCTTCTCTGGCAGGGGCTATGAAACGCACACACACATTGTGCTTTCTTCACTGATGGAAAATATAGCCATAAATACATATTCAGAAAAAAGTGATTAGAGGAGTCTGAATCTGAGATACAAAGCTCCCCAAAATAGGCCTCTACTTTTCTCTAAGTTTCCTAGCCACTGTCCTATGGGGTAAGAAGTGAAACACAGGTCATCGGGTCTTAGTGAACAACCTTCTCCCCTGTGATGGGTCCTGTGCTGCTGGCTGTCTGCTCTTGCTCTGCTGATCAGGTTCCCTGCAGAACGGAACTGTGGAGGTGATAAGCAGCAACACAGGGCAGGTGGCTCCTAGGGCCTTTCAGTTGCCGGCCACTGTCTTGCTCATGAGGGTGACACCGTACTTACCTTGGATGAGGAACCTGCAATCAGCTTTCCCAAGAGCTTACAGGTGTTGGTAGTGGAACACCAACAAACATTGACCCTGGAGTTGCCATGTGCAGCTATAACAGAGATCCAAGGTAGCTAAGAGCTAGGTCCTTCATAGAGGAGGACACAGTATGACTGCAATCTTTGACTTCTATGCTCTTATTTTTGAGGATAAGGAAACCAAGGACCAGCGTTACTGAATTACTTAAAACCCTCAGTGGGTGCTGAAGCTCATACCTAGGCTCTCTGGTTTACCACATCTGGGTCTGGTCTCTCTCCACATTTCCCTTCTCTGGCAGCTAAACGACCCTCCCTACCCTGAGGCATCAGGCAAAGGTAAGGTTTCCAAGTGACTTGACATGCCCAAGCCTTTTCACCACTGGCCTCTCCACCATCTTACTGTAGTCCATCAGTGTGGAAAACCCCATCTTACGGCTGCTACAGTCATTCACGCTTTGCCCTGAGTTATTATTGTCGTGACATGTTCAGCTATTTTTCATTTTTGACACAGGCATTGATCTTTAAGCAATACATTCCCTCATTTGTTTCATGGGAGCACTTAATATACTTGCATAGGAAGACATTTTACTTCTGGAGAGCTCAGGAGCTGTGCTCATGTGGAGCGGTCATGAGCTAAGCTTCTTGAGCCTCCCAGACCACAATGCCAGACTCAGGTTGCTCTGCCACTCAGCAGTAACATTCTGGACTCACTGCTCAAGCTCAGTAGGCATGATGATGCTTTCCTGGAAGGATTGCTGTAATTTTTGTTTGTTTTGGTACCAAGGATTGAGCTCATCGGTCAGGCTCACCAGGCAGGCACTGTGCCGCTGAGCTACATCCCTGGCTCAGGATTGCTATAATAATTTAATTAGATAGCAGGTGTCATGTAGTATGGGTTCAATAAAATGTAATCCCCTTCAGTAATAATGTAACATAAACTGTTGATTTAGATTTGCTTTTGGTTAGCCTAATGGAAGAACAAAATTAGAAATTTGGGTTTAAGAAAACAAAGTAAACACTGACCCTCCACCCCCCACCCTGCTGTTTGTTCCAGGGCTTTAGGTTTTCATTGCTTGCCATTAAGGAATCACAGAGGTGATCTTAGTACTAGGGTGACTCCAAGAAAAGTGGAGTCAGAAACATCAGTGCTTTACCTACCAACACTATGACCTCTTCAAAATCATTTAAATTCCCTCTTCTAATTGTTTCATCTGTAAAATAAGAAAAGCAAAACAAACAAACAAACACATCCTTCTTTGTCTGAAGGCAAAGACTAAACAAATATGCTTAGCTTTTATAGATCCTTCTATTCTGCCCTCTTTTATTCATTCTCTACTAAGGTTGCTGGTGGTAAAGGGTTAAATCTCTTCCAGTGCTTGTCACGAAGAGGTGGATAAGAACTCTAGAATTCCCAGCTTTATAAAATCTAGCATATCATCAGTAGAACATCTTGATATTTCTTTATTTATTTATTTATTTATTTATTTATTTATTTATTGTCTTTTTGAGATAGGGTTTCACTCTGTAGTTCAGGCTGACCTTGAACTCACTTTGTAGCCCAGGCTGGACTGGAACTCACAGCAATTCTCCTGCCTCAGCCTCCTAAATTCTGGGATTATAGGCATGTGCCACCAGGCCTGGGTTGATGTTTTCTCTGACACCATGTGATATGCATCTCATTATGTGATATTGTCTTCATTATTTAAATATGTTAATGTTCTGTTCTAGAACCAGTGTTTAAGCATCAGTCATTAGGAGAGTAATCTCTCTGTAGTAATTGAGTTTTTGCGTTCAACTTTTCTTTCCTTGGAACCAGCAGAGTGCCTCCTTCCGTTGTTTGGTGGTGGTGTGAGTACGCCTGCCGGTGTAAGAAGTGTGTGTGGGGGGGGCGTTCCCTGTCTTCAGTGTTCCATCATTTTCCATTTTGGGCCTTCTGGGAATTGCTTTTAAAGAATATGACTGTAGAACACTGTTGCGTAGCCTCCGCGTGATGCATTCATCCCAAAAATTTACCCAAAGCATTTCATTTGCAGATCTGTACTCCTGAAGCACTAACTAAAATAAGAAATGTTAATTTCTCGCAGGCTCTTATCAGATGACTTTACATATCTGCCAAGGAGGAATGTGCGTTCCCGGGTGAGGAATTTCCATAATAAAATTCTGGCACCACAGCTCAAGAGGATAGTTTTATAGAAACACAGAAAAACAACAGCAAGTATTTTCCCCGAGGACAGTTTTAGCTACAATTCACCGACGCTGCTTTGTTATTCCTGTCGTATTTTATGCTTTTGTTTTGAAACATAACGCCGTTTTACCTGGACGCGCTCCCAGATAATCAGGAATAGCTCAGTGTGTTGGCTGCCTCTGCCAAACGCGAGACCTCCAGAAAATCAAAAGCCTCCACCTCTACAGCCTGCCTCTTCCCGCACCTCTGCCGCCCGCAGAGAAAAAAGGGTTAAGGATTGTTGGAGAGGAGAGGAGAGCAGAGGAGAGGGGAGGGAGCCCGAGGAGGCCCACGAGGCTTTCATCACCCGCAGCTCGCAGCCCCGTGCGAGCGCCGAGCTCCAGAGCACCTTTAGGTTTGCAGCAGGGAGGCTGCTACCTAGTTCCCGGACCGGCTGCCAGGAGTGGGCGTGGCCTCGGCCGTGTGGATGCTGCTTAGGGAAGATGCTGGGTGCTTTTGGGTGAACAGTGGGGCTGCGTGAGACCGAGAGAGCGAGCGAGCCAGGGTGGGAGGAGGTAGAGAAAAAGAGAGAGGGAGACAGAGGGAGAGAGAGAGAGAGAGGACAGGAGTAGTAAAGAGGGAGGGGAGAGAAGGAGCTAAGGTAGGACCTGGGGAAGGAGGGAGGAGTGAGGCAGAGACACCGAAAGAGACCCTGAGATATCCAGCACCCAGTCAGAGCTGGGAGAGGGACTGAGAGCCGGACTCCAGCGCCCCAAGCTACTCAAGATCTTTTGGGGAGCTCAATAAACGTGAACATGAGGTCTATCACCGGAGCTGTCCTCAAAACGCTACTTCTGTTATCTACTCAAAATTGGAGCAAAGTGGAAGCTGGCAATTCCTGTAAGTATACGGCAAATGATTTAAAACTTGCAGGGGGAAGGGGCTCCTTGAAAAACTTTGATTCTGTGGTTTTTAGGGTTATTGTTTGCAACTGGGAATCACAGCAAAGCATATTGCTATCAATGAAGCATCGCTTAAAAATCCTGCAAGTACGACTGGATTTACACTTGGCATTCCTTCTTATAAATTTTTTTTGTCTGACCAAAATATGCAAAGTGTTATCTTTCTTTTTTGTCTATGAGCAGAATCCTACTCTCCTGTCTTTGAATATTCATTGAGAATGCTCAAGTTCTAGTAAAACATTAAATTAGCATCTTAACCAGGGAATAGCCTGGGAATGTCTTCATTTCTCCCTTTCTCTGGGATTGCTGAATTTTATTGGAATTATGTCTAACAGGAAAACAAAGGCACACTTTGCATTAATGCTGCATTAGCTTAGATTTCGGAAGTTTGCAATTTGGCAGAACAGTAGCTGGCTGTGTCTTTGAAATGATGCAGGCTAATAACTGAGCCGTACTGCAGACTTCAGGAGCAGAACTGCTTGTGGCGAACCTGAGTATGGAGAGCCGTGTCCTTTTGCTTGGAGAATGAGTCCAAGAGCACCCCCCCAAGAGGGGCTGATGTCTGCATTTGGCTTGAAGGAAAAGCATGCAGGTGCTTGTTTTATTCCCCAAGAGTACATAGTAGTCTTTGGTGGTCAAATTTCTGACTTCGTAAATTTGTGACTGAAGATGCTGATTCTGGGTTAATTGATTCGGGGAAGATTTGTTAGAACCTTATTTCTCATTTGAATGTCATCCAAAAATAATTTGGCAGACTCTCTTCATCCACTTGTTATTAGGGGAAGAAAAAGTTTTAAAAGTTGTATTTGGCTTAGATTGTATAAACAGGCGAATTTTGCCTTCTATAGTGAATGATAAATAAGCTCCACAAATACAACTTTATATTTTTTCCTCAGATTTTAAAGAAGCTCATTTGTTTTCAAGAAAGGGCTGTGAGGCCTGTCCAGGAATTTATGCTGCTGCTTTCTAAGCAGGTTTAGGTTTGGGCACCAGCGCCAGCAATCAGACATTTACTGTGGCCCAGTGTTCCCCTGCACTGAGGGGCTGGCGTGTGGGGAGAACCTTATGCACTCCCATGATGTCTCAAGCCAAATGTCCATTCACACTTTGTGGCCATTGGGATTTTGTGTTTCTATTTGTGGGAGCTCACTTAATGAGGGTGCCTCTATCCTTCTGCAAAGAGAGAACTTCACTCCAGGGGCTGCACTGTGTTTCTGATTCAATTTTAAATTGGATCCATGGGAATCCCATAAATCAATAAGAATCTGCACAACTTCTCCTAGTCAAGATCTTGGAATCCTGCAGTGGTAGCCTCTGACAAACACTGCAACGAGCCAACCAAAGCAAATGACAACAACAACACAGACACCCACACACAAATGAAGTTTCTTGAAGAGGCCTAAGTAATGAAGTGCAAGCCAAAAGGAAGCACTAGGGGTCACTGTTACAGTGTGAAGCGCTTTGCAGCAAGCATCCTTCCCTTAAGAAAAACAGAGCTTCACTCTGGCAGGGAGTCTTTTCACTTGCCTGCAGTTGGATGTGCAGTATGTTAATGTGATTAATTGGATCGCTGGTTGCTTATGTTTGTTTTCTGGAAGCCCAGCGAAAAGCGTAACAACCAGATCAACATTAAATAGCCTTCTTTTGCAATTTAAGAGAGGCAAGGTGAGCACAGTCTTCCTGTCTGCTTGGCTCTGGCTGGGCCTTGCTTCAGGAAGTCACTTAAAGCTCTCCTCACAATTGGATGCACTGGGAAAACTTTGAATTCTAAATGCTCAGGAACATTTAAATATGACACCTGGATTCTAGTAATTTTACCTGTTCAGACTTGACCATCCTTCAAATGTCCAAAGGGTAATGGAATGGTTTCATACAGTCAAAGTTGCATTTAGTAATTGCTTGTTAATATTTTGAAAAGTGGGGTTGCAGCTGTAGCTTTCACTTCTCAATTTTCATTTTATTCTTTTCTCTTTTGGACATATTTGCTTTCTTGGAAAGTGCACTTGTTGCCAAATCCTGGTCGTGAGTGTATCACACATTTTATCATTTTGAAATTACGATTACACATATTTTTGAACATGGCTAGAAGTTGGCAAAAGGGCAGGCAACCATCAGCCAGCATAAGCCTTTCGAGGTGTTATAACTCCAATAATTCTTCTGGACAAGACTGCATATTAATAAAGAGTGAATCCATTTTGAATTTCAATATTAAAGTCAGAAAGAACTGAATATAAATAAAGAAAACTAAAGGTCTCTGTCTCTCAGGTGAATACAAAGACCTTTTCCCTTTATTTGTAGTTGCTTCACCAGGAGGAAGTGTTTTCCATTGACTCAGGCTGTGGCTACCAATATGAACATTTTCATGGGGTGGTGTTCCAACCTAGGAATAGATGTGTTTTAATTTGAATATTAATTGATCTAATAATAAACTGGGAAACTTTACATTTGAAGAATTCTGTGCAAATACAATATACACACAAATAGGTGTGTGTATGTACACAACTATGTACAAACCATGGACCTATGTGTTTGTATACTTTTGGTGGCCCTCATAAACACTCCTATACATGCCTAAAGATGAAATTCATTGAATGCATACATTCCTTGACATTTGACATCCCAAAAGCGTTGACCCAACCCCAAGTTTTTGGTTTGTTCTGGTCAAGATGAGTTTGATAGTGTACTGAGGTGTCTGCTCCGTGAAAGTTTAGAGACAGATCCTTGTAAAAAGGCTTGCTCTTTCAGCAGCTACCTAGCTCTTGTGGGCTTCTTCACATCCTATTAAATGACCACTAAAGCATGGCAGACACATCTCTTTATTTTATGCTTGCTCTTAAGAATCCATAGAATCTGGATAAGAAGACATTGGGGGAAAAGGGCTGACCATGGAAGAAGAAACAGGTGTCAGTAATAAGGTTAGCTGGAGTTTTGCTTTTGTTTTTACTCTTATAGATGAAGTGATAGAAGTTCTCTGGTTTCAGACAGCCTGAACCTTATGCTGAGAATAATTAATGTTCACAAATAGCTTGTTAGGAACTTAATGGGAGGTTAGCATCTCACTGTGCTCATCTTTTTCTCTAAATGAGAAAAAGATATGTTTAATATCTATCTTAAAGGAAGCATTAACCATTGTGGTAAAATCAATAATGGGTGAAGGTACTTGGTGGAGTAGATGATTACTTTTATGAACCTTGGGGTATAGCCCAAATGCAACAAGAGAGATTCTGTAAAAGGTACAACTCAATCTTGCAATTCTATCCTTCCCTCCCCTCCCCTCCCCTCCCCTCCCCTCCCCTCCCCTCCCCTTCCCTTCCCTTCCCTTCCCTTCCCTTCCCTTCCCTTCCCTTCCCTTCCCTTCCCTTGCCTTTCTTCAAAATTCATTTCTGTAGTAAAACAATAGCCAGAATACAATAGTGAAGTTATGATAAAATCTAATTCTGTGATACAGTGCATTAATGACTGACCCTCATATGTAAAGGTTAGAATGCATGTTGATTCACTTTTCTAACAGCAATAGTGAATAATTTCCTCCCATTTGGTGGATTCTCCATACTCCCTGCATCTGATAAAGGAAGGCTTCATCTCTGGGATAATATTGGTCAGAGGTTAACATGGGGCTTAAGCATAACTTTTACATGATGCCAAATGTTTAGTTAAGATAGTCATTACTATGTTCTGAAATTATTTGTGGAATTCACATCATATACAAACAGTGTCTCTACTGGAGCCATTTATGTATCAGTATTAAATTGGCTTCTTCAAAGAAGAGAGATTAATAGAATTGCATAACATCAAGTGTAACATTTAGCTTGGAGTTTGGCAAACATTGGCTCATGAGCTAAAGCTGGCTAACTACTTATTATTATATGGTTAATGAACCAGAATGATCTTTATGTTTTTATTTGAAAAAATTAAAAGGAGACTTCTTCATAGCAAAAAATAATTTTTTAAATTAAAATTTCAATCACCTGCTTTTGTAGGTAGAACTGTATGAACACAATTTGCACTGAATTCTTATTTGTTTTGAATTTTATCAATATGATTTTGTTAAAATTGTTTTCCTCTTTTTATATAAGTAACTACATAATATTCTTTACTATCTGGTTCTTTATAGAAAAAAGTTCACTGATCTCTGACTTAACTAAGATATAATGATGAGCCGCAGTGTATAATATGTTTTGCTATGATAAAATTGAATTTTAATTGTTTAGCATATGAATACATCCCTGTGGAGTTATCGCAAGACAGAAATGCTAATGTTGCCAGGAATATGATAGAAGAAGTTCTCAATATTTTGCTCTTATGTTTCAATATAAATATTTTCTAGTTTAAAATCTTATTATTTGAATATGTAAACATTAGTTGCATTTATTCATAAAGTTTCAGCATTTTTTGTTAAGTGTGCATGTTTAATCTCAGTAATCCTATCAGCATATGACATTTAACAATATGCATAATAATTACATCTTAGATATTTAGAACAGAATTTGCTGTTATTTTACATTTTCATGACTGTAAGATATTCCTATCCATCTCAATCAGAAACATTTGAAATCAAATTGAATACAGGGAAAATGTTCTTATTTGAAGAGCATTATGGCTTCTGTAACTTTTAGAGCAGCTGCTTCCTAAAAATCCTGAAATCGGCAAACTTTCTAGACAAATTGAAAAATAGATTTTCATTTAAGCATTGCCCAGTGAGAATTCACAGTAATGAAACGAGCGCCTTTCACCTACTCATGACAATGCAATTAGTTTTTAAATCTCTTGTCTGTGTGGAATTGTATTTTTGATTTCTAAGAAAGGATGAGCTTCATTTTATTTGCATTACACTATACATGATTTGCTAACAAAAAGCAAGGTAAAATATGATGGATATACTTCTTAAAAATAATTCTACCATTGTATTTCTCCAGAATAAATGACCATTTGCTTTCA